ATATGTAATATGTACCCTTAAGTGGACAAATAACATCATTTACTCAAATAAGCATGGATTCTTTAGTTTGCATTGTGAATTTGGAAGGGTTTGCTGTGTGTATTTCTAATTCTGCTTCCTCGTGTTTGGGATATGTTGGTTCGGTTGTGATTCTGCTCCTAATCACATCTTTCTTCCTCTTTTGCAGTCAAAACAAGATTGTCGCTACTACAACGACTTACGTAATTTTGAGATCAATGATACCGTAATAGTCGGCGCATCAAGCTTGCCGGAAGAAGATTTATTTCCTAGTTAAACACAACAACCTCAAGTTTGAGAATCGTAGGCAATGCTCTTTGGTTCTATCTGGTCAGTGAATGGTGTTCTGAGTTCTCTTAATTTCACTTCACAAGATTAATGACTCTGTTAATGTCAAATGCAGGTTCAATCTCTCACGGTCGGTCCCGTCGGGTAGCACATTGCGAGTTGCTTCAGGAAAGTCTTTGCGGAGAACCAATGCATGTTTATAGCTCTTTACAACTTCCTCTACATGTCCACTATCTTTATAAGCGGAAGCCAAATTAGCATGAGTTTCAGCCATGGTAGGCATGACGGTAATTGCACGTATATAATCCTGGATAGCAATCATTAACTCTTCCAATCTCCTTATATGTATTGCTTCTGTTTACAGGACCATCAGCTGCCAAGGGATCGATGCGGAGGGCCTCATTGTAGCAAGGTATGGCATCTGCCTAATTTTCTTGCTGCTAAAAGTGGTAACCAATTTCCATGTGAATTTTTGGGTTCTGAAGCTGCTGGAACATGTTTTACAGAGGGCGTAACCGGTTACGGGCACGAAAATGTGAATTTTCAGAATCCTTGAGGTGTTGTACAGCAACCTGTCGAAGATGAAAACGGAGCAAATGTTACACGACCAACAAGGAAAAGAGTTTTTCCTTAGAGACTCCAAGAATGTGAAGTATTCCAGGATAACGAGATCAATGATGATGGTGATTTTGTTCACTTTGCGCTTATGACCGAATCTGAACCGGTGAACACGGAAGAGGCTCTAAGCGATCCAAAGTGCATTTGTGCAATGAATGAGGAGCTAAAATCTATTGAAAAAAAGGCTACTTGGGAGTTGATCGATTTACTACTTGAAAAGAAGCCAATTGGTGTGTGATGGGTCTATAAAGTGAAGACAAATCCCAAAGGCAAGGTGATCAAGCTTAAGGCTCGATTGGTAGCAAATGGATTTTTGCAACATGAAGGTATAGACTTTGAGCAAGTGTTTACACCTGTGGCTAGGCTTGAAACCATCCAATTAGTTATTGCCATTGCAAATAATGATGATTGGGTGATATATCAAATGGACATCAAATCTGCATTTTTGAACGGTCCACTTGATGAAGAGGTTTATGTTGAGCAACCCTTTGAATTTGTAGTAAAGAATCAAGAAATGAAGTTCTACAAATTGCATAAAGAATTATATGGTTTGAAACAAGCTCTAAAAGCTTGGAACAAACACATTGATGGCTTTCTTGTTGATATTGGTTTCAAGCAATGTGTGTCCGAACATGGAGTTTATGTGAGATCGAATGCAAATGATGGTGTGATCATTCTTTGCTTATATGTGGATGATCTATTGATTACCGGTAGTTATGAGAAGAGTATCTCTAAGTTCAAGAGTGAACTTATGGATGAGTCTGAGATGACGAACCTTGACATTATGACGTATTACTTTGGCATAGAGTTCCATAAGTAAAAAATGAGACTGCTCGTGCATCAAAGGAGATATGCTCTTGAGATCTTGAAAAGGTGTGAAATGAAGCATTCTAATACTACCATTACACCATGTGAGGCAAGGTTGCAGTTGTCCAAGAGTGAAGATGAGCAAGAAGTGGATCCAACGCAATATAGGAGATTGATTGGATCATTGCGTTATTTGTGCAATACGTGGCCAGACTTGGTATTTAGTGTCGGTATTGCTAGTAGATTCATGGAGAGGTCGAAGGTGTCTCACTTGGCAGAAGTCAAGAGAATCCTTAGATACGTTAAAGGAACTCTTGGTTGCAGAATTCTCTTTCCCGCATCAGATACGGGCTGAAAATATGATTTACTTGGGTTCACCGATTCCAATTGGTGTGGTGATAAGGATGATAGAAAGTTAACAGTTGGATACAACTTTATGTTTGGTAAGACACCAATATCTTGGTGTTCGAAGAAGGAGCCGATGGTAGCACTCTCGTCTTGTGAGTCCGAATACATTGCGACTTCGTTATGTGCGTGTCAAGCCATGTGGCTCATGAATCTATTGAAGGAGTTGAGTAGCAATGAGGGTGGGGCTACTACACTTCTGGTTGATAATGTTTCTATAATAATTCTTGCGAAGAATTTGATTGCACACAGAAGAAACAAGCATATAGAGATGTGGTTTTATTATTTGAGTGAGCTAGTGAGTGAAGGCAAATTACGATTGGGATATTGTCGAAACGAAGACCAAGTTGCAGATTTGTTGACCAAGGGGGTAACAAATGTGGTGTTTTGAAAACCAGTTATTGACATTTCAGTTATGGTAACCAGTTACAGATTTTGGTGTAACCGGTTATAGAGTTAAAAAAGCTGAAGAATTTAAAGTCACAGGTTCGTAATCGGTTACGATATTTTGCGTAACCGGTTACGGAGGCTTATTTTGCTTTTTTTAGTTTTCTTAGTTTCAGTTTATTTGGATAAGTTGTTTGTGTTATTTCTAATCACTTTGTACTTGTTGTTTATAAGGCCTTGTAAGCTCCCATGTGTAGTTAATGTCAATTATTTTTCTCACTCTCAATTACTCTTTCTATTTTTCTCTCTCGATTTCTTAACTTCATCTTCTCGAAATTAACTCAATTATTCATTAATTCACCATTAGATTCTACATGCATTGATTACATATTCCAACCTCATTTTCGATATCTATGCTTTCTTTTAAATATATATATATATATTTTATTCTAATTTTAAATTCATTTGTTTGCATTTTGCCGGAACAAATTCCCATCATATTATTGAGGTAAGCTTCAAAGCATTTGTTAGGACTCTTCGACAAGCAATTGAGGATAATATAGATCGTCGTAGAACAATACCAAGGTTTAGAATAATTATTTCTAAAATGTTTAAGAAATATGTGAAACACTCTTAACGTTTCAATGACAGAAATGTTTGTAAAGAACTGGAAAAAAATTCTACACATTATAAAAGGGTGTAATAGCAAGATTTTATGTATGCTTATAGCTATACATGTTATTGATAAGAAATAATTTTGGAGACTGAGCTTGAATTTGAGTAAGAAAAACATTTCAAAATACTACTACTTTGAAACTAGAATATATTTTACCTATAATTCATACTTTAAATTAGAACATATTTTTTAAAAAAAATAGTGCAATAAAGATATATAATACTTTATCTCTACTCGATGCGATATGATATACATACCTTAATTTAGGGGTGTGTATGGTTGATAAATTAAACCAAATTAAATTAAATCAAATATATAGAATAATTTGGTTTTTAAAACTACTTTGACAAAATTAATTTATTTTTTTAAAATCGATTTATGTTTAAATAGTTTGATTAATAACCGATTTGCACTAAAAAATTCAATTTTTGTTTGGACCACTTTTAAAATCAGAATTTCTTCAAATTTGTTTAACAATTTATTGACTGTGAATCTTTGAATTTCAAAATTACACAGCTCTACAAATTAAGTAATAGTTATGAAACAAAAATGTTAAAAAAATTGTTAAAAGATATTTCAATTTTTAATCTGGGAAATCAAAATTAAGTAATTATATAATACATAATTTCTCACTCACACACATTTTACATTATCATTTTTATAACTTCACCTATCTTCACATTCACTTTACAAAAGTGAAAGAGACTTTTAAGAAAAAATATCATTTTAACTTACATATTATTCTAACAACATTAGTAAGTAATTAACGCATACTAACTTATCTTATAAAAATGAATAATGATTTCTTTTTATTAAATATTTATTTCCTTAATTATCACTTATGACCATAAAAAAAATATAAGATAAATTAGACACTATTTAAAAAATGGGCTAACCATTTATTTATGAATTTTAAAAAGTGGATACTAACTTTTTGTGGTTTTAATAAAATAAATTTAAATTAGTTTTAAACTAAATAATATAGATTTTTAAAATAAATTCTCCATATTTTGAAAGTGTTTTTTCAAACCAGTTTTTTTTGGCACCCCTATCTTAATCAGTATTATTAAGTAGTAATGATGAAATTTGAAAAACTAATAACTATAACTATACCCATTTGAAATATCGTTAATATTATAAATAAATAAAAATGAGTTAAATTTATTTTAATTGTTTTATAAAAATTAGTTCTGAAAATATAAAGAAAGAATATATTATTTAAAGATAAAACAAACGCCGTCCTAGTCAATTCATGATAAATTGTATTTAACAAATTTTAAGTGACATTTTAATATGTAATTACTTAAAATTATATTTAATATGCAATCAAATTTTCTTTTGTATAATTATTCTAATATAATTTATATGATTATTGGTCTTTATAGAGTTAAATTTTTATCATTTCATATATTTATATATTTATAAATGCATTTAAATATATTATATACACCACATAATGGTGCAACTTTAAAAATCATAACGTATATGTTTGAATCCATGATTACACTTTTTTTTCTTTTCCATAATCTTGTTTGTTTTTAATTGATAATTTTAATTTATAATGATGTATATTTTGATAAGATGTTATTGTTGAATTTAAAACGGGCCTTGTGTTGATGGCCCATAACATAATATCCAAACCCATTTTTGAATCGGGTCATACCGACCCGATTCTTGCCAAACTTTCCTTCCTTCCACGATCAATGAATTCTGCAACTTCATCTTCTTCCTCGCGCTTCGTAGCAACCAAATGACTGTAACTTCAACTTCTGCAACTGCTTTCTAATCTCAACTCTAAACAATGAGACGAAGACGTGAAACTCACGAAGATGAAACCACCAAACAAACACTCCAAACTTCAAATTCCCCCAAATCAGTTTCAGATAAACAAATCTTCGCTTTCTGCTTAGCATTCCGAATGCTGAATTCACTTTTAGTTCAGAGTTACTTCAATCCCGATGAACACTGGCAAGGTCCCGAAGTTGCACATCGCATCGCATTCGGGTAACAACACTGAGATTCATTCTTCTTTTTCACCTTCTTTTCTTTCACCATCAAATTCCACGCTAATTTCGCAGGTACGGTCACCTAACATGGGAATGGAAACAGGGTATCCGAAGCTACTTCCATCCATTGATCTTTCTTCCTCTTTACAAATTTCTTGGATTATTGCATCTTGATAACCCTTGGTTCATGGTAATTAATTAACTTTATATGTTGTTAATTAGGGTTTTATATTTTGTACTTAGCTCTGTTTGGTAAAATGGTAAAAAATAGTGTCCAGCTGATATGGAAGCTTATAGTTTATGACTTATGACAGATAACTTATAGGTTATAGCCAGAGTTTTAAAACACGGTGGTGGTCGCGTCACGGTCGCCTAAAGGTTTTTGTGATTTCAGTTCGGTGTCTCGACACTAATTGGGATTGAATTTTAGTTAAAATAATAAGGATAAAAGTAGAAGAAAAAATGGAAGTTATAAGATATAAGTTATAAGATAGTAAAATAAGGTATTTGAAATAGGGTCTGGGAAATAAGTTACTAAGATATATAGGTTTTTGTGATTTCGGTCGGTGTCGCGACACTAATTGCGATTGAATTTTAGTTAAAATAATAAGGATAAAAGTAGAAGAAAAAATGTAAGTTATAAGATATAAGTTATAAGATAGTAACATAAGGTATTTGAAATAGGGTCTGGAAAATAAATTATAAGATAGTAAAATAAACTATAGACTCATGATGAAAATATAGTTACCAAACTTTTATTGTTATATGAGCATTAAAATAATTCAGTGTATTGTTTTTCTTAGATGAGAGCTCCAAGGTTATTACAATCAGTGTTCTCTGCGGTTGGTGATTTGTACTTGTACAAACTCTCTGCAGTTCTCTTTGGTGATTCCGTTGCAAAATGGGCAGTATCCTTTGTTTTTTCCATGTTTGAAGTTCTTGTTTGTTGCATTATTGTATATAGAAAGAAACATTTTACTGTTACCTTAACTATATCTCAGCTTTTCTCCCAGTTGTCGAATTGGTTTATGTTTTATTGCTTTTCTCGTACATTATCTAATAGCTTGGAGACTGTTCTTACGCTAGTGTCTTTATACTTTTGGCCTTGTATGAGAACTTCTTCGGGCAAAAGTTCATATGTTTCTAGGAAGTGGGGTTTAGTTCTGGCAGCATTAGCTTGTGCTATTCGTCCAACAAGTGCAGTCACATGGATATATGTTGGTGTCATTGAGCTTTTTAATGCACGTGACAAATTGAAGTTTGTTTTTTTGGAGATGGTTCCTATTGGGTATGTTTTCAAACCATTTATTGCCAATGTGTGCAAATAGCTGTTATAGTATAGTGAAATTTGATAAACCATTAATATGTTGCAATACACGAACTAAGTGTTGCCAATTAACGGTTATGTTTTACTGTAGCATAGCAGAGTTTGAACAAACCGCTATTTTTTGCAATCTATGGTTGATAACAGTAATTATTACACACCCTAATTTGATTTTGACCTCTGAAATTTTTCACTTATGTTCTCGGAGAGCTTCATGACATTTGGGGAAGGATCTAAAGATGGCTGAATTTTGCGTTATTCTCTTTTTGTCTCCAAATAATAGGCATTGAATTGAAGAGTTCCGTTTAGCTAATAAATATGCCTGGAAATTTATTTTATTGCACTTACTAAAATTTCATCGGTTTGACATGTTAGCCTTTGATATTTCTATCGAAAAGTAAGCTGACATTTCGTGTCAGTAAATAGTACTAGTAACTAAAAAATAAGGGTGAATTTAAATTTTATTCAATTTGAACATCTTTGTAAATTCTCATAATTGCTGCATCTTTTTACATACGAAAAACATAAAATGTATTTCTAAGGAAAAATGAACTCTGTTGATGTCAGACTGAGAAGCACTCTTCTTGGCTTTATTCTTTCCTATGATATCCCCCATAGCTGAGTCAATAGCACCGGAGATACAGTGCATAGGCAAGCGAAGCGAAGTCAAGCAGTAAAAAAGAAGGTGTTGCATTGAAAGAATGCACGGACATTGACTTACTTTCCTTTACTTTAGGCATAGCATTCGGCTATTTTTGCAAAACCTGATCCATGCACTGATCCTTCTCGCAAGGGAATCACAAGTTCTACATTCTAAGTGCACAGAAAATTTACTGTCTTAATTTTGTATGGCTTTTCTTCCGCATGAACTTTAGATAACTCCATTGGATGGAAACTCAACCATTTTACAAATTATCATTATGCAAAAATCTTAAATTATTACTTGTGATTTCAGAGAATTCTATATCACTGTAATTTTCATATTTCTGTTTCATTCTATCAGGACCTTGGTACTCGGGCTTACCTGCTTATTAGATCGTTTTATGTATGGCACATGGGTTCTAGTACCACTAAATTTTCTTAAATTCAATTTTCTTTCCTCGGGCGGAGACTATTATGGAACTCACAAGTGGCACTGGTACTTCACTCAGGGATTTACAGTCATGATCTTCTCTCATATACCATTTTGTATAGCTGGTATCATTTATTCCAAACAGTGGAAGTTTACTGGCCTCCTTGCTTGGGTGTTGGGTTTCTACAGTATCTTAGGTCACAAGGAATTCAGGTATTTCAATTCGAAAATTTTACATTTATGCATCTTTACATGCACCCGGCTTATTGCTTTGACTTGATTAATGATAATAATTACTGAGATACAGGTTTGTCTTGCCAATTCTTCCCATAGCTCTGATGTTCTCTGGTTATTCTTTGGCTATGATAGAAGATCCTGGTGCCGGTTCCCCGCCGTATAAAGAAAAAGAGTTTTCAAAAAAGCATTACAAATATCCTCCCAAGATGACAGCTGCTATATTATTTTTGCTTGCTACCAATATACCAATGACTTTGTATATGAGTTTGGTTCATCAGGTATCTTTTTCTCTCTTCACCAAGTATCGAGATTATTTATTTTTCTTGTTACTGTTTGTTCTTCTTAAATCTGTAAAAATTTAGACTGAAATGTTCATTATATATTGTTTATTTTCTAAACAGAGAGGACCTGAGGATGTTATGAACCACCTTGCTAAAGAAGCTTTTCAAGGGAAAGTGAAAAGTATCCTATTCCTTACACCTTGCCATGCTACTCCATACTATTCCATGCTGCATCGTAATCTACCAATGCAATTTCTTGACTGCACGCCAAGGTTTGAAATTAACAATTTAAGAATGTCCTCTAATGTTTATTGAAACTGAATTAAGTTAATAATCGATCTTAATGTATCATTTTCAGCAGTGAAGAGAAAGGAGTCCTAGATGAGTCTGACCGTTTCATGAAGGACCCTGTTTCTTTTATGTCAAAATTTGCAAATAATTGGTCTCTTCCCAGCCACATTGTTTTATTTGATTCAGAAGAGCAAAAGTTGAGAAGTTTCTTAATTTCACTTGATTATAGAGAGGTAATTTACAAGTCTGTCGTAATTTAATCATTGCTATAAATACTGGTAATTTGTTCTAATTTGACATTCCTTCTTCAGGAGAAAAGGTTTTTTAATGCTCACTTCAAGGTAGATCGTGATCTTCAAGCTTCAATAGTTGTATATGTTCGAATAAGATAGTATTATCTAGTCTTGTTAAACCAGTTCAGTTGGTAGCTGTGTAAGGACATCAGATGAAGAGGCGCGGGGTTCGAACCCGCAACATTTCATTTATTCACTTTTGCAGAATCTCGTGACAGTTCATTGTTGGTTGCTCCAAATGTTAATTTTGGTAACTAAGGTCTCTTAAATGACTTCATAGTGATTGTAAATGTTTCTATAATAGCATGTTTTAGTCATCTATATTTTCTTTTAAGAAAGATGACCCACATTTCTCAGGATTGTTTTCTGATTTGACATCAGTACGGTAGTGATAATTCGTGTCTATAGGACCAAACATATAATGGCAAAATCATTAGTTGAGCTAAGCATTCAAGTTGGAAGAATAAACACATTCAAACAAAGATACACAGGGTATTTTAGGAATATCAACATTCAAAATTAAATTATTAGATCTTATACTATCATCCATGATATAAAAGCAAAGAATTGACAAAGATAGCATTTGTACTCTCAATTCTTAAATTATTGAATCAAGAGTTTGTTACAATCAATCAAGAGCTTTTTCCTATTTATACATCAGCTCTGATAGGAAAAAGTGGCTACTTATTGTTACAATCAATCAACAGTATTTTCTAAAGTGATTTTACACTTTCATCCAATTAAAAATAATCATTTTAATACATAAGCGTATGAATTAAAAATAAAAATAATATATTATAATTAATTATTCTAATAATTAATTCTTTCACTTTTTTCTCTCATTTTTCATGTTTATGTGTGAAAAAAATTCATTTTAACTGGATGATAACGAAAGTGGTTTTACAGTGACAATATATTTCAATAATCTCCATTTTTATATTTATTATTATTATATTAATTTCTTATATTCATTTTATTTTATTAGTTATTTAGTAAAACTAATTTTTAAATTAAGTTTTTTTCACTAAACCATAATTTTTTAAGAACGTGGGTTTTTCCTCATGATAGAGGTGGATTAAATTAAGATACATTAATTAAAATTAAACAATATTTTAATAATTAAAAATGATAATGAGAGATAATAGAGTTAGTGGAGTTAATAACTTTAAAAAAAAAACTATGTCATTGGAGTTAGTGGATTAAATAGCTGAGGTATATTAATAATAATAATTTAATTAAGTTGTTTAAAAAAATAATATTAATTTTAATTAATTTTTTAAAATTATAAACATTAACATTATATATTAAAAAAATAACTATCCTGCATTGCACGAAAAAAATGTCATATATATATATATATATATATATATATATATATATATATATATATATATATATATATATATATATATATATATATATATATATATATATATATATATATATATATATATATATATATATATATATATATATATATATATATATATATATATATATATATATATATATATATATATATATATATATATATCAAAATGTCTTTTCTGTGTGTCATCTCTATAAAATAGACCATAAATCATTAACCATAACCAATTCTACATAAGTCATGTAACTCAGATAGCTGCATCATCCTATCCTAGAATTATGATTCATCACGTTGCGCTAACTTAACAATTCAAATGGCATGTTAACCAGAGTTAGAAAAGACATAAGTGGCATGCTAACCTTATATGCCATAATGCTCCAAATCATAATGCAACCTTATATGCCATAATGCTCCAAATCATAATGCAAGACAATTTAGGACAATCTCACCAAACCTTTCTTTTGCATTTAAGCATAAACTATCATACATATATTCTTTTTTAATAAGACATGAATGGGAAATCAAAAGACAAGAGAATGAGGAACTTACCAATGCAATAGACTGGAGCTTCAAATAAGTACAACGCATGAGAGAAGTGCTTCAATGCAATGGATAGAAGCTACGAAAATGCTTCAAAATAAGGAAAATGCTTTGTAATCACTTTTGAATACTCTCTCTTCGTATTTTTTGTCTTTGCTCTTTTGCGAAAATAGAAATGTGAAGAGAGATGGAAAGACGGCTACTTAAACAAAAACGTCCAAATTCTAATTTTTAGATTAAATCCAAACTTTAGAATTCATATTAGTTTGAACTTATTTTAATAATGTCGGAACGTGTATTAGCTCTTACTTGTACTTTGGACGGTATCATCACATCTTAGATTGCATTCAGTCGTTAATATGCACAAAATAGTCTACATTCATGTGTCTATATATATATATATATATATATATATATATATATATATATATATATATATATATATATATATATATATATATATATATATATATATATATATATATATATATATATATATATATATAAGAACCTTAGGCCTACACAAAAATGATTTCGGTGGACCAAAATATTAGTAAAGAACTTGTTTTTGACATTTTAAGGTCCTTGCGTCGACTTACAATTTTGTGGAGGTCGACGCATACATGTTGATAAAAACCAATTGCTCTCGGGTCTGCTCACGTCGACCCATAGTTCGACTCATACTAGAAGAACAAAAATCTGTAAGTAACCTTGCATTGACGCATGACCCTGTTCCGGTCGACGTACCGCTTGATTTTTTGTGTAGTTTCGCATTCGGGTGTGCACAGGTCGATCCACCTAATGCTTAGGTTGACCGCTCGCTGTTGTGAGTCAATTTTTCTGGTCTGTTGTGTTTCAAAATGTTGTTATGTTAGTTATGGAGTCTTGACATCATATCTATTCATTTTGTCTCATCATTACACAAAAAAAAAAAAGAAAAATGAAAGATATACACTGATTTTTCTCATCATCTTTATTCTCACGTGCATTCTTCAACAATTACACATAACAATTTTTGTTGATCTTGTGCATTGTCGAGGTGATAACGTCCAAACGTAGAATTGTGTATCTAGTTTGGGTTGAGGATTCAATGGGTTTTTATTGAATAAAACCATTGGAATTTTGCCTTCCAAGATCTTGAGAATTTAGGGGGTTTTGCACAAATATTTGCCTCACAGATTCAGCCGAGTGAAAGGTTTGAAGAACGGTGGGTTCGTTCAAACAAGTAACGGTAACCAGAGGATTGTGACGAAAGATTTGGGGTCAAACGTCTTACGAGCGAAATCAGCCGAGCGAAAGGTTTGAAGAACGGAGGGTTTGTTCAGACAAGTAGCGGTAACCAGAGATTTGTTCAGAGTGTTTGACGCACTGGATTCGACTTGAATCAAGGGGAGAGAATGGAATAGTATCAGCTTCAATAATTAGGTTTGAGTGTGTGGTGACTATTGCTTCTTTTGTATAAATTTTGCAACGTGATAATAAATATTTCAATTTTAGTTTTAGAATTAGGGACAGACGTACCCGAAACGAAGACGAAAAGGGAAACTACCTAAACAAATTTGGTGTTGTTCTCTCTTTTTCTATATCTTTTATTTGTGTTGTTGACGTTTGTGTGATTTCGATTGTTCGATAAATTTTCTATGTTGTGTAGTGCTGAAACTATGTTTTGCAAAACTAATTACAATCTCTTGGATTGTAATTGTGAAAAATTCTGAACTAGAATTATAAGGAAATTCAACGGTGTTGTGCACACCAAGTGTTTGACATATCAAGTGCACACAAACTGTTTGTGATATTGCCAATTTAAGTTTACTTTTTACAATTCATTGGAAATAGGATAAACTAAGTGGATATTACTTATATTGATTAATTGGCAAATCATTGATTTGTTTTCTCATTACATTTTTTTTCATTTGACTTTTCGTATATTCGATCTTTTCAATAACGGTTCGTTTAGACGACTTGATTCCTCAGCCACTTCCGCACATTTTAAAAACCAAATTTTAAACGCCGACTCTTGTTAAAGATATAATTGCAGACGGAGGTTGGATGATCACAAGTCCAACGTTGACTCAACCTTCACAAAATGCATGGATAGAATCTTGAAGCAGATCAATCTTCACAAAATGCACGGATAGAATCTTGAGTTATCTGCTTCAAAGGTTTCATCACAAAGTAACAGCGGCAATAGAGAGCAGTCTTAAAAGATATAATTACAGACGGAGGTTGGACGATCAATGCATCTGTGGCATGACTTTAGTTGGATATGATTACTGATATGTGTTATAAAAATAATCATCAAAAGAAATTTACAATATGCTTCATGATTCTTTTCTTACAATGGATCTTTAATTGTCAGCCGCCGGATTTATTTCCGGCTTAGAAATGAAAGGAAGGAAAACTAATGAGGCAACGTTGGAATGTTCTGAAAATAACTTCAAAAGAATAGACAGAACAGAACCATATTAACACAGGATACCCGACAACACCGTCGTATTAGGAGATTGAAAGCCCCATCCATAGCAGAAGTCTTCGCGGTCTATCAAGAAACCTGGCCTGCCATGCAGGTTCATCACTCTCATAAACAAACCCACTTTTCGTGTACAATTTCTTTGCTGGTTCATTGTCATCGGCAACATGGACATATAAATCTGTTATGCCTGAAAGACACACAAAGGAGTAAATTTAGTCACTCTTTAGTTTAAGAAATGTCGATTGTTTTATAATGTAGAAACCCCGGGTTCACCTGAATCATAGACTCGAGAATACATAGATAACTTATACATAGTGCTTTTAATTCCAACTCTACGAAGATCACAACAAGTATATCTACAATTCATATAAAACATATTAAGACACTGACTGACCAACATTGTATCTCATGATGTCATGTTCTTCAATGTTGATTAGAATTTAGAATGACTTTCAAATTCTGAACATGAGATTTCTATCCCAAAGGACAATATTTGGAAACATGAGGACAATGGCTAGAGTCATATATCATTGTTGACCAACTTGGAAGTCATCCATTATGTTCAAGACCAAGATCATACAGAATCTCTGGTTGGTAGACATTACAAAAATACAAAAGATGAACAAAATAGGCCATGCCATTTTTTCTTAGATGGTAGACGACCTTAACCCATTAAAAAAATTATAAAGAAATTATAAACATCAAGACATGATGTATGTTTAACACGCGAGGTATCTGAAATAAGAAAACATAACTAGACCAATCTCATCGTTAGATTAGGGATGGAATAGGTTAGACCGGCCTACTGGAACCTATAGACCTATTTAAGTCTGACCTATTTAAAAAGTCTATGAAGCTTGTTAAGCCGGCCTATATATGAATATCTATTAGAAAATAGGCTAAATAGTATATAAAATGTCGTGTCATCTATTTAAAAATAGATAAAATAAAATATTTATAAGTCTTAATGTGAAACGGGCTTTTAAAAAAACTTTCAGGCCAAAAAGGCTTTTAAAAGGATCAGACCAGAAAAAAAAATCTATAATAGGCCATATGTCAGACTTTGACCTTAAAATCTTATCGCAGGACAGACTCAGACTTTTGCCAGGCCTGTTCCCACTTCTAGTTAAGATCTACAACAACAAAAAATTGGTTGTTTTCTTTCCATGCCTATGATAGTTAACATACTATTTACAGAAAAACTAAGTTACAAGGTGCACTAATAATAGTCAATAAAACTCATTGAACTTCTAGAAGACATTTCCCCTTTCTCTTCCTTTCTTCTGGAAGGCTTTGTCAGGAGAGGTTTCATTGTCAGGAGAGGTTTCATGATATAAGACTAGTTTTGCATAGCCACAGATTTACTACTCATATATAATAGGTAACAATATTGAAATTATTTAACTCTAAAATAGATGTTGAGAGCAGTATAATCAAAAATCATCTCTAAAACTTCCAAATTATCATTGGACATCCAATATTTTGATTAATAAGACCAAAAGTAATTCAAAATTAAAAAGTATTTTGATAAATGGTATTTATACCGTTTATTGTGTGTTGTTATCAGTATTGCTTTTGCTTATTTATTTATTTTATTCCGCTTTTATGTGCTTTTTGTGTGTTTATACTGTTTTCAGGCAATAAGGGAGTGTTGGGCTAAACTGAAGCGGGGAAAAATCAAGAATTGCGCACAAAAAGGAAGTCCTCCCATACATAAAACCCATGGCCAACACGGTTGGACCGTGTTAGCTGACATGGGCCATGTTGGCACGGAGCGCCTCCCCCGTAAATCAAACCCGGGGACAGTAGGGCAGGCCTTGTTCCCTGGCACAGGCCGTGTTGTTCCCAGACTCATCCCCTATACTCATCAGAGGTCAACACGGGCAGGCCGTGTTTCCTAACACTGCTCGTGTTGAGTCCAGTGTCAGTTACGAAATTTATACATTTGGACCGCTTTGTGACCTTTGAAAGCTCAAAACCGACTCAATTCAATGCTTAGTGGTCCATTATTGTATTAGCACGAACTTAAGGTGATTAATTGATGATTTTTGTATAAAAAATGATCATTAGCTTGGGATTAGGGGGATCACTTCACTATATTTCATTTTTCAGCATTTGTTTTTGTTCTAAGCTCTCCATTGTATTTCTTGCAACTCTTGCTGTATTTTTTGGATTTCTTTATCTATTTAAGTATTATCTTCATTCAGGTTTATTTTTCTCATTGAAATCACTTTTACTTTATTTATCTTTTATGCTTGCTATGTCTTTACCTTATTTATTTGCAATGTTACTCACTATGAGTGACTAGTCCAATAGGAACAAGAGGTTGTGAGATCTAACTCATGACGAATTCCGAGTGAGTCATCCAAATATGAATAATGAGAAAATATGAGCACTATTATTTTAGGATTCGAGCACTTAAATATATTTGCGTCGTTGTGAAAGCAAAGACAACTGAGATATCAATCGTAGTCCGAAAGGATATGAATCGATATCCGATCGCGGATTGCTAAACAACCAAGTTCGAACTACTCGCGTGACAAAGTGACTCGCTCTCAGTTGAGAAAGCCGCATAGTTGTGCCAGAAACACGTCTAGTGTGTACACTACGAAAGTAGGTGTAGTACAAATTTATTTATTTTTCTATAATTTGCTCTGATTATCTCATATTCGATTTCGAATGGTCAATTGGGTGTGTCGAGTTAGATAATCACGTACCCCACGTCCTGCTTTTTATTCTGTTAAATTTACTTTGTTTGCACTGAAACCCCAAGACTTTGACCGCTTTAGCTAGACACCACTAGAATAAAAATTGATAATCAAATACATCTCCCTGTGATTCAATATCTATAATACTACTTCGCACTGCCGCGCACTTGCGGCTTGCATCATATTCTCCTAATCAACATGATGAAAGTCTTTTCCCACTAGACTAAGTTGGTTACTTGGAATTGATTGAACAACACCGTTAGTTCTGCCTTGGATCATATATAAAAATATATTATTTAACTCCACATCTCTCTGAATAGTTTACCTTACAATTTTCTTTAGTCTTCCTGTATCTCTAATCTATGAACTATCCTCCCTAATATTATCTACCCACCTCACCAGTACTTCTGTGGGTCTTCTCCACAGATGTTCAATTTTCTGATCAATATAAATAATTAGGATTGGGAGCTAACTGTTCCCGGATATCAAATAAAGTTCAACATTTATAGGCACCATTGAATTTCCTATTTCTGATATATAATTAGTAATGGTAGTGGAACTTGAAAAAAAAAAGTATAGCAGTTAAGTGCTACACCGTTTCTTACCCCAATTACGAGCAACTAACTTCGACTTTTCAAGAAGTTCATAGGCCAATCCATTTCTGTGCAACTCTCTAGCAACACACACATTACTGAGGTAAGCCCTTGTCGTATCAGCTCCGCTAAGCTGACAGTTAAACATTAAACAATTTGACGGAGGAGGCATTATACAAAATAGTCATCAAGCATCCAGAGCAAGCTAGAACATATAAACAAACACATCCACACCCACTTCATATTTTAGGCCGTGTTTGCGTAAACAACTTAATTAATAAGTTATAGTCAAACTATTTCTACTTAAATTATAAGTTGTTTTCATAAGTTATCCTAAAGATAAGCTATCCGAAAGAGTTTACAGAAATAAGCATCAAACAAGACGTTTCCATAAGCTCTTCCAAATGCTTATGCGAGTAGATAAAATCAAAGAAACCAATCCGAACCGGACATAAAAATCTAGAATACATGAAAACGAAAAATACCTTCGGCTTCATCCCGACAATTTCATCCGGAAGACTCAAGCACTGATTAAGATCAAGCGAACCAACTACAATCCTGTCTTCTCCATAAGCAGAAAACTACAAAATTTTAACTATAACCCAATCAATTTTCTCAAGAAACAATAAACCAAAGACCAACAAACAAATCTACATAGTCATTGAATGAATCCACGAAATAAACAAACCTTACATGAAGAACATAAATCATCATAGATGCTAGATATATGAGACACAGGAAGAGAAGCATTTATGCAAGAGACTCTTCTAAAACCCGTCTTCTTCCCCGAAATACGCTCTTTCAATGCTTCAAACTCACGTTCAGCCAAGTACTTCACATGATCCTAACACAACTTGACAAACACGAAAAACGCTTCGTATAAACTATAAAGTTCACTCTTTTATCAAAATTCAAAGATACCCATTTGAAATTAGTATCTAAAAACAATAAATCGAGGCTGAAATTGAAATTCTTTCGGTTTGAATTCTAATAAAAACATAAATAGAAGGAAGAATTGGAGTGGAAAACTAACTAACTCACTTGGACTCCGTAAGTGCCGGGACGTAATTGATTGAAGGAACGAACACGGAGGGAGGAAGCTGCCCAGAGTTCATCATCGTAGAAAGATTCGGCGATGGTGATCAAAGATGCGTCGATTTTTTGGGTGCAAGTGTTTGTGGAAGAAGGTGAGGATTGGATTTGAGTTCTGGTGTTGTAATTTGAGAACGTTGATGCGGAATTTGGAAAAGAAGCAGAAGAGTGAATTGGAGGGAAGGAACAAAGGGAAGAAATTAGCGTCATTTTTTTTGTTAGGTGTGTTGTTTGTTGTATTATTTGTGGTTGCATATGCATCTTGTTCTTGTTTTTGATAAGTTTTTTTTTTTTAAATTTAATTGTTTATCTATTTCTTTATATCAAGTAGAAATAAGTAAAGAAAAGTTTTGTTTTGTAGTGGATTTTTATTTATATACATTCAATATACATACAAGATGCATAGTAGAGGATACAAAGTCTCTTTGGAAGGATGTTCTCAAAGCGAGAAATGGATTTATTGAGAATTTGGTTATGTTGGACAAATCTACGTTGAGGGTATGGACGTTTACTTGGTGGAAGGATGAATTTATCAGATTATGTTGGACAAGTTTACGTTGAGGGAATCGACGTTTATTTGGTGAAAGGATCTTCTCAAGAGTGGAGTTGTTACTTTTAACTTGAGTTTTTGTTTTACATGTATAATTCGTTATGAGCTAGGAGTCGAAAAAACTATTCCTTTCTGGACATCACCGTGGCTATGTTCTTCTCCTTTGGCATATCTGTTTGATTATTTGTTTGTCAGCAGTAGTGAAAAAGTGGCCTCAGTGAGCTCTTTAGGTGTTTGGAACAAAGGGAGATGGCATTGGGGTGAGCTTGGTATCCTTCAGTCGGTTCAAGCTACTGTTATGAAAATATTCCAGAAGTTGAAGAATTTATTAAACATGGTTTCTCCTTCTTTAAGGCTAAAGGACGACATCCGTTGGAATGTCGAGAAATGTTCAGTTTACAATGTGAAGATGACATACCTACAAACTGAAGATGGAAGTTAGAGAACAGAGCATGCTGATTATGGATCAAATCAAAGCATTTGGTACTCTTGGAAGACCATAGTTTCAACGAGAGTTCTAATCTTTGGATGGAGACTGTTGTGGAACAGACTCGCTACGAAAGACCAACTATCGAAAAGAGAGGTATTAACAATTTAGATAGTTTGTGTTTTATGCCATGATATGGAAGAAAATCTTCAGCATTCTTTCTTCGAATGTCCATTTGCGTTGGTTGTTTGGGATAGGGTAGGGAATTGGTGCGGCTGTATCACTTATTATGTAGGGTGTGTTTGGAACTTCTTTGTGGAATAGAGTGGAGTGGTTTGGAAAACAATAGAGATGGTAGTTTGAAATTTCGATCTATATGGTTGACCGTTGTTTGGTTCCACTAAAGAGTCAGAAATAATATTATTTTCAATAACGATGTAAGAAACATAGATGATGTTTGCTGGACCATTGAATTTCTCGCATGGAAATGGTCATGTACAGGTGAAATTTTTTATGTCAACTCTAATTTTCTAGCTTTTTGTATGGATCCTCTTAGGTTCATTGGGTAGAATTTGTGTTGGTTGGGAATTTCATACTATAAGATTTTATATTTTGTTGGTGTAATGGATTGAATACCCATTGTATTCCTTATTAATTCAATTGCCTTTAGATGAAAAAAATATGCATACAAGAAATGCAGTGTAAATTTTTACCAGATTTTTTTGTCTTTCTACATAAATCATGCGATATTATTTCCTTTATTAAAGTAAGTTAAATGAATGAATCTCAGATGTAGAGCTGTCAAAATGGGTTACCAGACCCTAAATGGGTCGGCCCTGGTGGGCTTAGATTTTTTAGGGTTAGGCAAAAAAGCCCATTTTTAATATGGACTCGAAAATTACTACCCGAGCCCGGCTCTAGATGAACTTTGAGCTACCCGGCCCTAAATAAGATTTTTTTAATAAAAAATAAAAATAAAAATGTCATAATATTTATTATAATGGTAAAAATGATATTATTTTAAACATAATACATTTTTAAATACTATATTATCTTTTATAAATACAACAATACATGTCTAAATTGTATAAAATTATACTCGAATATTTAACATAAGAAAAACTAATAGAATACGAGAAAAGAGTGTTGATTACATTAATGTATAATATTTAAAAGAGAAATATTAAATAGAATAGAGATAAAATTTAATGAGTTGAGAAAAATTAATGTGTTATTTTGGAGTAAGACAATATAAGTATTAATATAATTTTTTAAAATTTATAGTGATGTGGGTCTAATGGGCTACCCACGACCCATATGAGCTTTAAAAAGCCCCAAAAAACATGGGTTCTAATTTTAAAGCCCAAACCATATGATTTTTCGGGCTTGGTGGGCCGGCCCATACGGGTTAGCCCATTTTAACAACTCTACTTAGATGTAAGGAACTCTAGAAGATTTTACACAATTGTTAACCATTAACTTTATGTGTGTTTACATATATGTTTTATCTAAACTTTTAAAATTTTAAATTGAATTATGCAAGTCTATGAGTAACTTATTTTATGTTATAATTGGTAGAGAGTCTGATTCTTGAATTAAACAATATCTAAACTATATGACATACAAACCATACTAGGATGCAACAATTACATAACACATGCATAATATGTGTGTGTGTGTGGTTCGACAATTTTTCTTCGTTATGACTACTCCACTCTTCAATGATTTTATCAAGAAAATAATCCTTGTTGGAACAAGATTTGTTCATACCCTTAAAAGGTTTTGATGATATCAAAGTATTTAAAGAATAATAGAGTTTACTAATGGTTGTTCAAGTGTGCAAGATCAAAAGACATTAACCTTGATATAAATCAAGTTAATCACTTAGAAGAATCATTAAAGTGAAGCAAAGTTGTTATGAATCTGAAGGATCCAAACCAAGCTTTCAGACTCTGAAGAGTCAAATCAAGTCTTTCAGATGATGAAATTAAGCTTACTTGAATTACAAAGATCAACAAAGTTCTGATGATTAGAGTCGTTTGAAGCAAACATACTTTGTTATAAGGAATGTCTCTGCATTTTCTGAACATGATTCGTCAGCAGTTCTGAAGATTCTGCTTCAAAGGGTTTTTGTCTATGTCAAGTCAACAACTCTGAAAGTGTTCATCTAGATTAGTTATAATCAATACTCTGTTAAGGTAAGCTCAGAACCTCTGATCTCAAGACTCTGAAGTCTCATTCCAACCAGGATCTTAAGACATACTTTAGCTTTTGATCATACTTTATCTAATTCTATAAAAAGCCTCTGACTCAAGAAAAGTATAAATATAACAATGACTCAGAACAAGCTTCAACAAACGTCTTCAAGAAGCTTTCAGTTAGAAGTTATCTAATGAAGATCACGTGAAAACGGTACACTACTTTATGTCTAATCAACATAAAGTAATGTTGTCAAGATCTTATATCTCCACATGTTTTAAACTCTACTCTGCTCCTTTTAACGTCTTTATGCTAGCTGAGTTTATAGTTCACTTTATGTACTTTAGCTAAAGACCTTCAACGGCTATTTGAACCATGGGTAGTTCTAATCTTCAATAGATATATTAAAGAAGAAGATTAAAAACATTCAGTGTATGGTGAATGCATGTGGGTTGAAGAATATATGGATGTGTTAACAATGACGAGATACCAGTTCACAAAAATGGATTGAGAGAGAAAAAAACTATTATACACAGAAAAAGACTATTATACTCAAAAAGGAAATATAACCAGAAGGGTTAAGTGTGTAAGAGTTGAACGAAACATATTCACATATGACTTGAAAAAAGAATATGTGAATATGATCAAGAAGAACAACAAAATATAAAGGAAAAACAAAGAAGAAAATTTGTACAAGAAGAGAAAAAGAATGAAAACTTCATTCTTATACACTTACGAGCAATCAATTTGCATTATGCTCAAAAGTGTAAAATCTCTGTGTATCTGCTTAACTAAGAAGCCCACATATAAACACAAGGTTAATACCATACTCTTTTGTTAAGAGAATCTGAATACTTTAGCCTCTGTGCTCAGGGTAAGTATCTTTAGGATGATTGAACATTGAAGTCTCATGCTTAAGGGTAGAGAAAGGAAGTCTTGATCAATGTGATTGAGCATTGAAGTCTTGTGCTTGAGGGTAGAGCAGGAAGTCTCAATCAGGATGATTGAGCAGGAAGTCTTTAACTGAGGGTTTAAGCAAGAAAGTCTCATTCTAGTTTGATTGAGCAGGAAGTCTTGAACATAGGGTTTAAGCAAGGAAGCCTCATTCTAGTTTGATTGAGCAGGAAGTCTTAAGCTATTGGCTTAAACAATTATAATCTGATTAATTATAATAAAAACCTCTTGTGCTGCAAGGAGACTAGATTATTTTCAGTTGAGAGAAACCAGGATACATTTTGTGTCTCTTTATTTACTTATGTTATAACATTTCGTTGTGCAACAAACTCTGAAATCAGACTCTGGTATGATTCAGCATCTTACTTGGTTCAGAATCTGAGCTTGACATCTTAGGTTCTGAAACAAGTTTAAGAAAAAGAAGTAAGCTTTCCCATGCACAATTCAACTTCCTCTTCTTATGTATATTTTCTCACTTTTAATCACGTCTTCCATTATTTCAACAATTAATATACTATAATTTTGATACAATAAACTATCATAAATCTGAACATTAATAGCCACATTGCATTAGCCAACATAAATCTCAAATGATTGTTCCTTCTATTAATGCAGATACTCAACTGCCAACACTTAAGAGCCTCAATGATCTTGAGCCAACGATTTTTCTATCCATAATAACCTGCTTCAAGCTTCAATTCTGCAGCATCCTTTCCTTGAACCCATTGAAGACTTGTCTGAGCGATTGCCACTAGTAAAAAATGAGTGGATAACTTCCAGCTTTGTTCTGCGAGTTTAACCAAAATCTTCAATGGAGTATAGAGAAACTCGTCTCCCTTTCTGGATAACACACAACCATTATCCATGCCCAAGAAACTATTCTTCCACCTGATACATACAATAAAAACTTCAAAGAAAAACATTAGATTCCATAATGTACCTTTAATCTACCTCTCACACTCAATCTTTAGAACCAGAGATCCATAAAAATGGTTTATTGACAAAGTTTGAAGATGATGAATAGTATCTGAAGAATCTCTCTCACACATACAACTGATTTCTCATAGGATCTACATTGTA